ATGGAGAATAATTAAAATGTTCTTGTTTTCTTGTTTATGAGCATATTTTGATCAAATTGGGAAAATGCATTCATTTCATACCAAACTATTAACATTTTACAAAAAAACTTTTTCACCCTCTTTGTTGCAGCAAACCTAGAGTACTCGTTAAACTAATGCTATTTGAATAGGGAATAAAATGTGATATTATTAAAGAGACATTTTAGTGTAAATCCAATTAGGCAAATGGAAATTCGCTTAGTCTGCAGGTTTGCTGCGGCGGGGGTATTGTATTTTGTTGTACAATTTTACTTGTGAAGGGAACGGTCCAAAACCTTGCCAAATATATGATCTGATCGTTGGTGGAATTACGTGAGCATTCCAAATCCATACAGAAAGCATATTATGTTACTTGAAACTTTGTTTACTTTGTGTTGGATACAAGGTTTTCCGAGTGAAACCTTGATACAAGGGAAAAAAAGTTTCAATTGTAAATTGAACAATTGGCTGTATACGTTGAGAAAACCCAGACTCCCAAACTTTCCAATCTTCTTTATTGAATCGCAGTTGTTCCAACTTTGTTGAATTGGTTATGGTTGCATCTTGAATAAACACGTTGAAATAGTATTGCCTTCATGATAAAGTTTAAATGTGGACGCTTTTGGGATGATTTTGTCTCTTGTTATTGTAAATAGCAAATACTGTAGCATAAAATTATTTTATTGTTAATTAAAATTGTTATTTGTAGTTATGCGCAAACTGATTACTCGGGCTTTAAAAGCATTTTACTTTAATAAACGGATATCTATATTCTTGTTCGATGTCTGTTGAACAAAACACCACCTGGTTTTAGTCAGTGACGAATCTACTGTGTTTTGCTGCTAATGTGTTTTAGCGAATTTCACTATGGGGAAGCAGCTATTACCGGTCTCATGATAAGACCTAGGCCCAGGACCGATTAACCTACTTTTTCATTTTGATGTCCCTGTAGGCCAAAAACAACATATAGGGCTGCTGATATGGGTATTAATCAGTGAATGAAGCACAACTGAGTAACTGAGTACTCTGAAATAATTATTAATTTTTTTAATTAAATAAAATTACCATAAATAAATAATGTCAAGATATCTACGACAAATTTGGCATATACAGTACAAAATTAACTGCACTGATTGTGAACAATTCTACATTGGTCAGACAGGACAGGGCTTTCTTTTAAATATAGATTCAAAGAGCACATTCAAGCTCTTAATAGTAAAAACAGAACATTAATGAAATCAAACTTTGCTGAACATCTTTTATCAACTAACCACAATTGTCAATCACATGAATTAGAAAAATTACATGGAAATTTTAAAGGTTTGAAGCAAAGGAACCCGAATGGATTCAACTGAAGAACCTAGGAAATCCAAATCATATTTTAAATAGGCAAATTCCTTCAAGAAACCCAATTGTTTACAAAATTTTACAATTAAATAATCAGTCACCAACCAATTTTCCAAATCCTGTCTAGTTTTATAAATATCTGTATAATCTAAACAGGATATTTACTGTTATTTGAAGTTTGAAAATGGACTCATGTCATGTTCCGAACATGTCACTTCTACAAAATATAATTATTATATCAGGGTACTCAGTTGTGCTGTATTTACTACTTTAGTGTATATATAATATGTCCGTGAACGCGATAACTTGACTAGTTTCTGTCCAATTTTGATGAAATTTGGTTTGAAGGTGAAGGGCGGGATAAATGATTTTGTGAACCAGTATGATTGGACCATGCAAATGGGTTTTATGGGTAAAAATTGGTTTTTCTAATTTTTTTCCCTCAAAACAAAAGATTTCCAAATTTATCTCCAGACCATATTGAAGAGCTTAAAAAACCAAAAAATTGGCATGCTTAAGGTTTCTTGTACGCTAATTAATTACGGGGAAAATTAAAAATATTGAAAATTATAAATTCCCATGTTACCATACCGTACCGTTTTACCGTACTCAAAAGTTTATTTTTTTACAATACAATCCACTTTCACTGGCTTGAAAAGTTTATACAGCCTTTCCAATCAAAAGTTAGAACAAGGTTCAACGCATTCTAATGTTAGCAGTTTGGAATATTTCACCGCCAAGTTTCCAATCTGTTCAGCGAGCGATGGGTGGTGTAAACTTAAGTAAACTTGTTCATGTATTTCCTATCAATTTCTCTTCGTCTCAAGTGGAAATTTTAAGTCCGTTCATGTAAATAGACTAAATTAAGTATCACAAAATAAAAAATAATAAATCATTTTAATAATTTTTGAAATGTTAAAACTATGCCAAATTTGTATAGTAGTATGATTATCTCAGTTCTCTACTGAACAAGTGCGATGATTACTCCTAACTTAGTAAATAACCCGGCCACAGCAAACCTGCAGACTAAGCAAATTTCCACTAGCATGATTGGATATTTCCTTAAAACAGATTAGATTATTTATTCCTATTAAATAGCTTATCCCCCTGGGACGCTAAGCTCTAGCCCGGATTGTTTTTCACGTGACTTCAGACTAGCCTAGGGGTTGCGGCATTATCACTTAGATAAATCCATTGATAGGAGATGAAAATTCATACAAAATATTTATTTTGAGCTCTACAAAAAGAGTGGGAAAGAAATACGCAAATTCTATGTTAAATGTCCATAAACACTTCTAAAAGGGTTTCATGTGTTCTGTGTTGTCAGTTCCTACAGCTTTATATTTTTTTTAAATTTCAACAACAACAAAATAATTGTTCTAAACTCTGTTCTAAAATGTTTTCACATTTACAACTGACTTTGTTAACGCCACACTATCAGCAATGACGTGAGCAATGTCCATCCCAGCAGCAAACAGCATCGATTATAATTTCCCACGATTTCGGCAACATTCGCCCCACAATCACCGTGAGATCACAGACAAATTCAAAGGGATTTCTTGCGATCATGGCAACATCCGTGATAATCTCCCACAGTCCCCAACTCGTGGCAACATCCAACATCATCTTTCGCAATCAATCACGGTGACTCCCGTAATTATTAGGTGTTGACAAAGGGAAATACATTTTCCATCACCTCTTAATACTGTAATGTAAAATGCCCACAAGCACTTATTAGAAATAGATGCACATAAAATAGGTTTTTCACTTAAACCTGTGCTGTGAGTATTTACAAAACAAAAATAATAACGTTATATGTTACATTCAATATTGATTTCAACCAGTGGCAGCACTCATCACCAGTCTTAATCCTAGACTGTGTGAATATATTAGAGTCGTGTTAGCAGAGAAACTTTAATTTATATGTAGATAGTATTTATCACGAATTTATTTATATTAGGTGAAAACTGTTTTGACATACCTACATACTTCATTTGACAGACAACACTAATATATGAATTTGCCATGGGAAACTATTGAAACATTTAGATACAGCTAAATTCAATTGTTTTACACACCCTGTGAGAGAATACTGAGGGAAATGCAAAGCGTGGGGGTAAATGTGGCCCATCCATTTCCAGAGCCCACTACAGTCGGGCCATTGCAATAACAAAGGCAAGTGCGGTGGTCGGGACACCTAAAGTAATATATAGCCACATATTTCAGAGACTTTACGGTTTTAACAACACAAACTCTTTACAATTAAATGAGGATAGTGAAGGTATCAAAATAACTGTGGTAAATTTATTTTGTGACCTTTGTATGAAATCATACAAAAGGTTAAATTTAGTTGTTCATTCTCAGCACACTTCAATACAATTACTTTAAAAAAGAATTATTATAAGATTATAAGAAGGAATATGTACAAAATACATAACTTCTTGATCAGCTTAGGGCTGTAGTCGGTAAAATCAAATAAGATCCAACATCCACCAATATTCAATAAATTTATATTTATAGTGTAATGATTTATAAGATGGTACATACAAATATAAAAAATGTTTCATGGCAATCGATTTTGAATATTTACACTGGTCTAAGACCAGGCCCTATCAGAGACTCACAACTTAAGCAGAGAAGTGACATCTATATAATTCTATCAAAGTACTAAGGACGAAGATACCTTTTATAAAGTTGCTCCCTTATTAAATGTGATATGTGCTAGGTCTCTTAAAAATTGTATACATATAAATAACAAATAACACATACATATAATTCCAATGAATCCAAAGATAACATTAAAATATTGAAGAAATATGTATTTCTTCCCTCAAATCAAAATCACTTACAAAAGACTTAATTATTTCTACATGAACAAAAGTGTGACCACTGTGTCAAGCTTACAGACTTAAGTGTGCTTCCACAAGTAATTATGGAACTTTAACTGATGCCATTTATAGTTGTTGGGGGGTAAACTTCGATATTGTGGACTGTATTAAAAATAAGGGGTGTGAGATATATCATGTTAAGATCAGCTTGAGAGACACACTGTGAGCACAAAATAATAAACTTTTAAATAGGAAGAAATATGAATTGGTACATTCCTTTTTACTGAAGCGATGTCTAGTAGACCGTTGACGCACTTGATGATAGCTGGCCAGCTTTCGCGTACGCGACCGGTAGTTACACAAAGAACAGTTTGAATATAGTTTTTAACTTTTCATAGTTCACTTTTTTGTTAGGTGTGTCACGAATAAATACATAAGATAGACATACAATAATATAAGTTCAATTTATATGCCACAAATAGAGTAGGGGAATATTATACATAAATCTAAACGAGGGAAAAATGGCGAGAACATGTTGCCGGGTTGAAGAGTACATGATCGCCAGACATCACGTGACAGAGCAAGGGTCAGAACAAAATATGAATGAAGTCTGGATTCACCTGGGTTGCGTAGATGCTTAAACACAGAACAGTTGTCTTAATTGGTATTTATTGGCATGCCTAGATTCGTGATAAGGTTATAGAGATTAGGGTTGTCAAAATAAGTCAAATCCCGTAAAAAAGCTCGTAGTATATAAGGTCTAGACTCTCAAGACACTAGAAGAAGTCTATATTGTGTGTACAACAGTTGCAGGTGGCTGAGCCCAGGAACTCGTCCTGGTACAGCGAGGCAGTGATGGAGGCTAGGATGGGCTGGCGTCGTCGTACACTCAAAGAGGCTTGTAGTCGCTACGGTCTAGACGTCCCGGGGAACGACTCCCTACACAGACCAAACGCCTGGGAATTCTTGATCAACAAGAAATATCACCTGATCTGGTGTAATGTCTTCAAGGCAGCGTCCTCCTCGTGGATGTACAACTTCAACATCTTGGCCGGTAACTTGACTGTTGATATCCTCAAGTAGTTGTTATATGGTTGTAACTCAAATAGTTATTTCACATTACAATCAGAGGGTTGCCCTTTTGTTGGTTCAATCATAGACTAAAGAACCAATTATCTGGTGTTCTATTATCTGTGGTTCAATCCAAGAAAAGTTAGTAGCTCAAAATCCTGGACGTGGCTCCTTTTTATTACTAAGCGTTTAAAGTGCTCTTGGCAAAAGGAAAATGTAATCTTAGTCATAAGAAATCCACACAAAACATCACACTCCCCCACACTCATATAGATTTCATATTCGGCTACATTGCTTCTTTTAAATCGTGGTTTCCTTACTCCCAGGCAGAATCAATTTTGTAACCAGCAGGTACCATGTTTTTATCTATTAAACATGCTATCTAACACACCATTCATACTAGACCAGGACCTAAAAAAATAAAAATTAACAAATGGCATTTTAAGTACATTTACCTGTTTTGGATTACTCAAAATACTGTAATTCATCAAATAACCTATAAATCTCAAATAAGGAATTCCAACTTGTCCAGTACTGATAATTCTCACTGAAAACACTAATCTTTGATTGCACATGTTTACCCATGCCTTTGATGCACAGTAATTATATTTTTCTACGTAAATGACACAAATTGTCTGTAACTTATTTTAATTATAGATTTTAGTACTATAATGCCAATTGTATACCATTGTACACAATATGAATAAATACATTGTCAATTCAACGTCCCAGGTTACAAGAGAGAGTTTCTCCGACGCAGCAACATCGTGCCACTCCAGCTGGCTCGTAAACGCTATCCTCGGCCCACTGTCAAGGAGCTGCACGCGGCTCTCAACGACTCTCTGGCCTTCCTCATCGTAAGACATCCTTTAGAACGACTGCTCTCCGCATACAGAGACAAGATACAGTACGCTCTGCCTAATACTCATCATGCCAAGCTGGGCCAGCGGATAGTGCTGCAGTTCCGTAACAAGATTGATAAGGTTAGTTCCTTCACCCATATACTCTAAGCACCACCACCCCCACTTCATATACTTTAGCCTCTTATATTCCAATTTGCTACACTCCTGTGCTATCTTCTGTACAATTCCAATCTCCTATGTTCCTACGTTCCTATACTACAACCAACAATTCCCTACAATTTTACTTCATACACTCCAGCCTCCTAAATCTGCTCATCTTTATTCCTGTGCTATTTTCCATACATCTTAAATACTGCATACTCCAGTCTTCTAAATTCTGTTTATCTAATACTCCTACTATATTTTTTTTGCTCCAATCCAATCTCCAACATTTCTATGCCGCTATACGTTTATCTCATATAGGTTACTCGAATCTTCTATCCTTTTATCTTCTTTCCTTTATCTAATAAATTCCTATCCCCAACCTCTAAAGTCCTTTACTTCACTGCTCTCCTATTTATTATACTTCTATATCCTGTAATTCTCCTACACTAGAATACTCAACACCATTGTTTAAAAACACTTAAGTAATAATCGTACGGTTTCCCAAACATAGAGAACCACAACACTACAACCTTCAATTTATCTTACATTGTACCTCACAATTGGTCCTAAGCTAACTTCTAAAACTAAATCATTCAAACAAGTGCAACTCTTGACCAACAACACTGAAAATTCATCACAGGGTAAAAAATTCTCTAAATGCATGTCTTTTTTCATTGGTCTTTGAAAATATCATCACATATCAAATAACTAATCGTTAATATTACTAACAGGAGGGCAGGCCTATCCGAGACCGCAGTTTACACAACCCTCGTTGGCCAACATTCCCCGAGTTTGTCAGCTACCTGGTCCATGAGCACAGGAAAGGCCACACACTGGACATGCACTGGACTCCCATCACAGAGTTCTGCTCTCCTTGCCAGGTGGAGTTCGACATGATCCTCAAGTTTGACACACTCGATGTAAGTGATCAAGTTATTAGAAGAACAACTTAAATGATAAACAAGGGGTTTGTGCTCATATCGTACAGTTTAAAAGAGTCAAAAACTTATTTCCCAAAACAAAATAAATTTAGTTAAATGCCGATTTACTTTTCCAAATTTATGTTTGTTTAGAACAGTTATAAAGTGAATAGAACAGCTAATTTACAATAAATTTGTTGATTATACTTCTTTTTAGTCTCTTGTCCTGACTGTGTTTATATACTTAACTGAAGGAACAGCTGTTAAATTACAATTCACATTTAAACCGTTTAAAGTAAGTTGGTCAGCAAAACTGGATCTTTGAAAATTTACTCTAGAGATAAATTAATTGTGATGGGGGCAAAGCTCTGTTATAAATTACCTTTTTAATTAGACATCATTCACAGGTGCACTTGATCATAAGCTCTGTAAAATGTAACCTCAATAGTAAATATCGGTTAAGTAGGACAGCTGAAAAAGGAATGTAACAAAGAAAAAACCCTTACAGTATTAAGTATATAGATAGAATCTATAGATTTAAATTTTGACCTCACTTTTTGACAATGTCGTTGTAATGAATGTTGTTAACAGTACCTTTTTCAAATGAAGGGCTTTTTTGTTTGGTATGCAGCTGTTTGAGCCATTTCAAGGAAATGTTGCTTGTAGAATGAGAAAGAACAGAGAGCTGTAAGAATTATAAAACAAACCAGAGGTTATAGGGACAATGTACAGTAAAAGACTAAGTTATTTGGTCATGTGTGTTGGCTAATGGGGAAAGCAGTATTAAAAAGATGTGGAAAGGAGTACCAGAAAGAGGTCTCGGCCTCTATGAATTCCAAGAATCGGTTGGGCCAAAGTTAAGAAAGACCTGAGAAAGTGTGGCATATGTTTGAAAGTATCAGAAGATTGAAGAATATGTAGGCAATATGTTCGTAAGGCCAAGTACTAACTTGGTTTCCAATTGTAATGAGTGTAAGAGAATAGATTTTTTAAGGTTACAATACAATCAAACAATGTTTAACCAAATACACAAATCTGTTCACAATAAGAGTACTTGTTGTTGATTGATGGTACCTGTACTATACAAGCTTGTTTCACTGTTTCAGGAAGACCAGAGGTACCTGATAGAAGTAGCAGGCATTGGTCACCTGGTGAAGGCTGAGTGGCGAAACCCGTCCAAAGGTCCCAACACTCCTGATGTAATCACTAAGTACTATAGTCAGCTGACTCTGACCCAGCTGTTACAGCTCTACAACATCTACAGGTCAGCTGATTCATCTTATTGACTTGGATTCTGATGTAGACATTCAATTTTTATACACCACCAGCAGCAATTTTTTTTAACATAATTTAATGAGTAACTCCAAGATTGTGCTACAGGATATTAGAGGGTCAAAAGTTAAAATCATTTAACAAGTGGAAATGAAATAAAACTATAATAACTCAAGCTATTAACGTTTTAAATTTAAAATTTACCAAAAAAGCCCTCTTTCATGCTTCACTTCTACCTAGTACATAGGCAGATTTTTGAAATTCTATGAAATGACAGAAAAGATTATTGAAATTATATTTTAGAAACAAACCAAAACTCCTACATAAAATGTAAACAAAACAAAACTTCCAGTACAAATGAGATAAAACAAAATACCTATTTATAATTTTTACTAAAATAGGCTATAAAAGTAAACACCTTTTTTGTGATACAGTAGGAGTCAAGCAGTAAAAGCAGTAATTTCCTTCCAAGAATACAAAATAGCTTCTTCTCTACAGGGAAATCTGCTTAACAAGTTGTTGATTTTTTAACTAAGGGCAAGGGAAAACTCCAGTGTAGAGGAAATTTCTTATTAATGTACCTCAAGAAACAATTCCGAGGTGCAGAGCTAAATAATCCATACCACTCTGGGAAATCTTCCTTCTTAAATGAACAGGTTAATTGGGTAATATGTTAAAGTGTTCCATTAAAAGGTCTTAGAAGTCTATTTGAATTTGATGGTTTTAATATTTGGTTTAAAATTAAATAATTTTATACTTTAAAATATAATTGAACCATTAAATAACACTTAAATTACAATGACTCAAAGCAAACCAGAAAAACCATTGTTAAATGATGTACGTATTGTTAAGAAACATATAAAAGGTGGGGGTTGAATGTAAATTAATGTCTCTATTCAGCCCTACTATTTTTTGCTTCACCCACCACTTTTTTATCACTTTTCACCCTTAATCTCGACATAGTAACCAAAAACAATGCGGAGGAAAATCGATGCTCCCACCAAGTATATATTACTTTCTGTGATTAGGATTCTGTGGGATTGGATTTACCCCAATTAAAATCAGAGAGGAGTGGGAGAGAAGAACACAACGTGGTGTTTGTACGTAAAACCTGTGCAATAGTGACTGAGGTGGTGTGCAGAGGCACGGCACAGGCAGCGTGTGTTCATCAGTTTATATAGAGACAGCGATTCAAGTTAAGGAAACTTGCTTGCTGATAAAAGTGTGTAGTGCTACAAGCGTTTACCATTATTTTTAGAAGTCTAAGAGACATCTTCTATAAGTTCGGCAATTTCTCATTCATTCACACAACAATCTGCGTGTAAAATTCCTTCCACTTTAGTTACTGCCTTAAACAAGACTTATGAACAACAGCATCCGACTTACACTGTGATTATCATGGACAACATCATCCAAATGTTTAATACTTGTTCCAAACTCCATCACCTTAAATATGTTGTCATTTTTAACCCTCCACTCCATTGACGTCTGTAAATGGACTTCAATAGTGGTCGACATTTTAGACTACAGAAATCTAATCACAGAACTTTGTGTTAAAACATTCGCTACTAGACATTACACTCCTCTGTATGGATTATTTTGTGGTAATTAACGATTACAAAGTCAATGTGATTCCACAACTTGAGTAGAAACTAGAAACATATTCAATTTGGCCAATTACTGTTGGCAGAAGACATTCTTTTGAAACCTAAGTGATAAATATTATGTTTCCAGGTTTGACTTTGAGCTGTTTGGATTCTCACTGGACAGATACCTAGAGCTAGCAGCCAATGACAGTCCAACCAAAGCCATTTTGGTGTGAAGAGAACCTACCAACCACAGCTTACGGATTACTTCAAAGTGGCTAACACAAATAAGAAATCAAGAGGTGTTAGTCACAACTCACAATATGAAAAAAGCTAATCTATTCAACATTGCAACTAATCGCTTGTAGAAGCTACAAACAAAAGTTTGGGATTGGTTAATCTATACTTATAAAAGTATTACACAACCACAATGATTTTTCTAGAAGTGTGTTTTACACCTACATTCCAAACCGTACAATTTTTTCACATTCCAATCCATCATTTGATGCTACTTCAAGATCTGAAGTTCATTTACAACTAGACAGCCTTCTTCAGTCATTCCATCTAATCAAGCGTAGAGGCTAGAAACTAGAATAAATTCCTTTGATCCTTTGACACTCCAACCCATCATATGTAGAGGTTACAACTAGAAGACTTTGCTCTGACATTCCATCTCCTTAGTTATGCTTCAGAGAAGAATTCATAGAATAATTAGGGATTCTAACTCTGATTCTTCAACCAACATTTCAATTTTCCCCAAGACAATTTTGGGGATTCTGTTAGAGCGGATATCAAACAATCCACTATCAATCTCTTTATTTAAGACGAAAATAATGTTTGTAAGCCGGAATGTCGACAGGTAAACTAATTAATCATGTTTAGTAGCTGGAAAGTCCAAAACATATAGTTTTCACTTGGCGGCAGCCGATAACAAAGATAAGTTACCATCACTTTTGCACCAACAGCAAGGAAACCTTGTGTGTAAGAGTCTTAATGCAAAGATTACATGTGATGTACTGATTAATTAAATGTTCTAGACTTTTCAATATTAGATCAAAGAATACTACTATAGTCTTTCCAACATTGCCTGCGCCCTTACCAGTCCTTGCTGTCCAAAGTATTTGTAGATAATTAATTTTTATCCTGGCAAATCGAAACCCTGTCAAAACGTAACTGCAGGAAACGATCCGTCTAAAACACCTCATAACAAGTTCCGACCCAATACTAACAACTTTACTTGTTATGATGGTCAGTTCCATTTCTACATTTTTAACAATAGGCATTGTAAAAACTGCTTTTATACGGTTGTTAACTAAGCTAAGACTTTTCAGACTTTTAAACTTTAAAATATTCCATAGGTTTTTGAAAGATACTGCCGATTAAGCTGTTAGGTATAGGGTCATGGCCATTAAGTAGACATTATTTGCATTTGTTGATGCTGTATCCATTTTATTGAAAAGCATGATTCAAAGAACAAAGTTTGACTGCAACACAGATGGATTGCATAGTTAATTTCTAATAAATAATGGTTTAAATACCTTATACTGATCCTTAGTAGTCTATAGGCTACTGCAGTTTCATTCCCAAGGGAACTTCATCAGGATGTGAGGGACATCAAATTTCATTCCAGAGAAGTCGTCAAAGTTAAAATCCATCAAAGTCACATTTCACTTTGACGACTTCCTCTGGAATGAAATTTGATGTCCCTCACATCCTGATGAAGTTCCCTTGGGAATGAAACTGTAGCAGCCTATAGACTACTAAGGATCACTTAGACAGTGTAAGGTATTTAAATAATTATAATAGGCCTACCAGTGATCCGAAGGCTAACAACATTAAGTTAATTTCCGTTCAACAATTATTTTAATAGTTCAAATGAAATGCTAGCCAATTCCTTGCCTTCAAATTCAAAGGTTAAATGTTCAACCATGGGAAAGCTCCCCTCAAGACCTATTTGCAAATTGTAATCCTGATTCAACCTAAACCCAATCAGGCAATGATAGATTGATGATTTCTAAAAACTTTTAAAATTTAAGGTAGTTACGAGAACAGAATTTGAACCATTGCGACATCTTAAATCATACAATCTAAAAATATCAAAGGTGCATTTAGAATCGAAGTTGAACAACTGACTTCTTTACTTCTTTTACCAATTCAAATATGTCATAAAAACTATTGAACATAAAATAATCAAGAGAGAAAAACCAAATCCAATACCGCCACATTGTCAATGGTGCGGTCGAACTTTGTTCATTACAAATTCTGTCTCTTAAAACTAGCTAGAATGTATTCTTTAGTTTCCAAACAGTGCTTGACTGAAAATAAAATAATATACAGCTTGAAGAATACCATTGAGAGCTTTTATTTAAATATATCTCTTTATTTAAATATATATCTTGCTTCTTGAGCTTTTAAATTAGAAGTACTTGATTTATTTGAGCATATATTTATAAGTATAATATATTTGTTAACATTATTAAACAACTACTTTGAAGTTGAGTTACCAGAGTTATTTCATTCATAAGATCCTACTAGATCTGGGTTTTAGCAATAAATTAAATAAGCGTTTCTTGAATTCGATCAAAATTATTGTATGAAAACTATAGTCAAACATAATACTGTGATATAGGTTGTAACGGTATCTGTTTAAGATTATTTATTGAATATGCGCAAAATATAATGATGGAAACCAAGCAATTTGTTTAAACAAATCTACGAAATAATTATTAATAAGTACGGTATTTATACGTAATAATTATTTGATTGTGTTTGTTTATATTAAAACATTAAAACCAAACCGATTCACCAAGTAAATTGATGCTTTTGATAACTTTTTTGGGGTTGTTCAATGTTTTTGTCAAATACTAGTTTTTTAATAGGCCTATTATAATTCATTATAGTAAAATCTGTTTGCCACCAAGATAAAACTAAATTTTGAGATGCACAATGTAACCATAAACACTTTGCTTAAGTTTTGTGCAATGTTTGTAGCCACTAAGTTTAGATTTGTTATAAGAAATTGTTTGATATCACTTTGTTATTGTTCAATTTATTCTGTAGAAATGTAAATATGTAAGATAATGTTATTATGAATTTAATAAAACTGTTGGTTTTCTTTACAAGTTTTTCTTTAGCTCCTCGTTGGATTTGATCAAACGTTAGGATATTAGTATATGAAACCACCCTTCACAGCAAACTAAGTAATTTAGTTACTTTATTGGAGTTTTAGCCAATCAATATTTCATACAGTACAACAAAATTTTCACTTAGATCGACTCCTGGCCAGAATAATAAATATCGATTCAGAGAGTACTGAGGTTCGCTGCTACAAGGAACAGAGGAACCAAATATGTGTTGTTTTGATTTAATTTAAAACACCTACAATTAAATTAATTAATTTTTCAAAATTAATGAAAATATGTACACCATAAACAAGCAATTTCACATTTTGACACAGTTGGAGTCACAAGAAATTTAGTTTAAAGAAAGTACTGACTGTAGAACTATAACCGCAGGTGTAGGTAGGCAATCTCACCAAGTACCGTTTACCTTCAGATTTCATGACAATTACTTACTAATTGTAATTATTGCCACAGGAGTGTTATAGAGGCAGCGAAGGCCTCGCCTGAAGCAATGTATGAAAATAGAGCCTGGTACCGTCGTATGATGTCATGCAAATAAAACAAAAGACAGGAGTGTCTCTGGGCAAAATTATACCAGTGTGAAAAGTTACAAGGATTTTTTTGTCCCAGTCATAGAGAAACCATGTCGCTAGAAAAACCATCCCTTTGGTTTTAAAGGGATCGGCGGTTCCGGCCACCGCGAAGCACAAAGAACGCTGGCTTGATATTTAACTCATTCTTAAGTATCAATGGTCAAATTCTTTAATTAAAATAAAAAACTAACAATTCTCTAAATTTTTAAACAACACGTAAACTCAACACTTTTTATCCTAAGTAAAAATGTCTCTGATTTGAACCTAAGCGTACTAATAAAAGAAATAAAAGATGTACTCACGATGCGGAATTATTACGAACAGGAATGCCAACAATCCATTTTCCGTTGTGGATCTTCTTCCACGGACAGGAGAGTTGGAGAGGAGCGTCAGCCGCGGGTCCAGAAGTGGTGGGGGGAGGTAGGGAAGGACCCCACGCTAGTACTTGAGGCTCACACTACAAAAGAGAAATACAATTAAAAGACTGTCAAAACAAAATACCCCAATAAGATTCAACATTCAAAATAGTTTTTGTCATTAAAATATAAACATTTTTACACAAACAATGTATAGTGCAAATATGTAGAAATAACATACTTCGTATCTTAGAAAACATAAGTAGTCTAATTGCATTCATACCACCTGATAAAATAAAAGTTAACTTTACTACAAATCAGTGATTACCTCCTGTATTTATTGGCTAAATTAGATGAAATATAATAACTATCTTAATCTTTTTTACAAACTACTGTATTTTAGTTCTCTTTCATGCTGTTGTTGAATCATAGATTAAGTTATGGTTTCTATCTATGCAAGTAAAGATCGTTAATTGCCTGAGCTAAGAATATAAGAAAATAAATAGTTCTAAACAACATTTACACACTCACACGTTACCAAATATAAACATACATCACAATAATCGTCTTCATCAGATCTATAAGGATAGTGAATGTATGAGGCTGTAAGGCAGAAAAGACTAATACCGGTAAATCTATGGTGTATTTTGTATGTCTATGACTTAATTTACCTCAATATCTAGATCAGGTGGTACAACATGAGGGGTAAAGTTGTACAAAGCTTTGTATCTGAGATTTTGTCTTTCCTGCACCATCCGACGTACTTTAGCCACTCGAGCATTCATCTCCTGAAAATAGACAGGTGAACAAATTTGTAAGCAGAAAAACTTCATATCTTTTTATATGAATTTAAATGTGTTAATTTACCTTACAAATATATTAAAATGTACAAATATGAATTTACAACTCCAATCTTGAAAAACATAGAGATTCTTCTCTACCCGCCCCCTTGGCCCTCCCCCAAATTTCCATAAAATACCTATTGAGAATACTGCTAAAGATTTTGGCTGGCTGAGATTAAACACTAAGTGAGTTGGGAATGAACAGTAATAATTTAACTGTTAATAGTTTTGAATTTTGTGTTTTTTAGTTTCTTCTTTCTTAATTTTGGATTACTTTAATCTGGTATGCCAAATCCGTAAAAGCTTAAGTAATATATTCCCAATTTAACTTAGCAATCAGGTTTTTGACTGCAGTTTTCATCATATAGGGCCTAGTAGTTTTTGTGAAAAAATCGTTGGGTAAATTTATTACATGCAAGAAAAGGAGTTCCAGAAGTAGGGAACAGTAGAACCTTGTTCGATTCCCTAATTAAGTATTTTCTTATTGAGACCTAGAGATTTTTTATTAGGTCTATTTAAAAGGATTTCAGTTTGATCCTGGTTCATAAAATTTTAAATCCAATACAATGTATTCGAGAAACTAAATACTGGATATGTTTCTAAATGCTTGCTATAAATTATGTGTACTCTTGAGTTAAGAACAAGATAGAGTTGGGAATAAAGAGCAGAAAGGGTAAAGCTAAAAAGAGAGGAGTAGTAAATAATGATTTAGACTTGGAAAAAAGTTAAAAGAACTCTAGGAAAATAAGATTGATGGTATAGAGCTTAGTTAAGAAAATCAAGAAGGCCTGAAGGAAGATGGATAGAGGAGGTAAAGTGGGCTACGGAAAGAATGAGGATTGAGAATTTAGACGTAGCAAAATATGAAAGAAGAGTAACTGTCGATGAGAGGAAATGGAACCACTTAATGTCCACACAACCTAAACTAAAGAGAATATCCATTGGTCACAAACCTGTAGTTTTCCATTGAGGCTGACAGTCAGCACAGGCACTGCAAGAGGTACAGGAGCATGCAACTGGCCTACAAAGTTTGTTACAATCTCCTTCTCATTCCTAGTGCTTATCACAACCTGAGGATGGCCAATTCTCAATCTGTCTTCAATCTTTAACTCCACTACATCTTTGTATGTTTTAAAGATCTGAGAAAAGAAAATGTAACAATTATTGGGACGAATAGGAAACCATCTTGGTTCATTCTCGAGAAGAGGTAAGTTTTGGATTGTTTGAAACTGGCCCATTGTGTACCTATATGACTTGACTCTAAATAAATGGTCCTAGCTAAAAAAAAGCTGCTCTTAAGACAATAAAAAGCTTACGATTGTGATCATGTTTACATCGGACAAAGTTATTAGACGTTTCAATAACCACACATCTGCATAGAAAAACAACAAACCGGAAAGATCAAATATCGCACAACACTTGTTACAAAATGGCCACTCATTAGGAAAAATGGAAGCCGATGTATCTATTTTAAAGAATTGTAAGAAAGGAAATGTGATTAATACTTGGGAGGAATGGTTTTAGTAGGCCTAGAAGGAAAAATGAAAAAAAATTAGAAATAAGCTCATTAATGAACAAGTGAATTTTGACTCCAGCTGTACTTGGAGAAACTTATTGACCATGTTGCTTCCGGTAGCCAATAGGGACGCCATTGAGGGATTCTTGTCATTTGCCTATTGGGTCTGATGATGATCGGAGTGTCCAATCGAAATCGATCACCACTTACCATCCTTTGCATGTATTTTCCGTCTTGTGAGTAAACAGTATAGGTGCAAATATATTATAACAAGTGTTATTAGACATTTTTATTTTTTGTTTGTCAAATAAAAAGCTAACCAGATAATTTCACTCCATTCTACACTCACCATACATTCATATTAATATTAAAATATACATCAATGACGTAGCCAGGATCAGGGCCGGTTTAACCCATACGCGAACTACGCGGCCGCATATGGCGCCACGAAAAAGTGGCGCCGTGTCGCCAACGGAACAAATTTTTTTACGTGAACAACGTAATTTTGTTTATTTTCGCTCAGAGTTCAAGTATACCACAATAAAGGCATTAATTCTGTTTGTACCAACAGCACTTGAAAAATTTGTATATTTGTAAAGCACTATACAACTCAAGGACTCAATGCCATTTGCAGTTTCGATTTTGTAGTGAGCTGACGCTCGGCAGCGTACAGCGCGGCGCCTGTGGGTTTCATTTCACGACTCGCTCATGCTCGAGATGAGTAAGCAAGCGCGCAGCGCCAATAATTGTCACAACAAGAAACTTCCCCCTCCCTTCCCTCCCTTCCCTCCCTTCTGACTCTTTTGACTCTTACATCGTTCGTAGAGCAGAGCACTACGTTGTATTGTTCTCTTTTAGTGTATTAGCGTATTAGCGTGTATCGGTATCGTAATGGCGTTGTTTTGGTGATTCATGATTGTAGATAAGTGAATGATTACGAGTGTTTAAGTTTAATTTATATTTAGCGCATTAAATAAGAAGAAAGTATAAACTGAATAAATGAGTAAAACATCTAGCGAGCCGATACTAAGAAAACAATGGCAGAAAAAAAGTCTGGCACTTATTATAAAAAGGTCAAGGCAAATTTGTAAGAGGAAGATAAAAAAAAACCAAATCAATGAGTAGATTTTTTGTTTAAATCATCTGGTGGCGAGTCCAGTCAGCCCAAAGAAGTCGCGATAGAAGACGGCAATGATGTAATGTTTACCGTTTGTGATCAGCTGCTTGTTTTAATCTTTTCATGGAAAACAAAAATATAACCTTAATTACATCATTGCCGTCTTCTATCGTGACGTCATGATTGACGAGCATTACGGCCTGTTTTTTAGTGTGGCCTTGGTTTTGCTAAAGTTTATATGATGAGTAAAAGTGTAAAAATGTCAAATTTATACGAATAATAAACAGTCTTTTATTGCAAGCATTCTTCTAACCTAAACTTATAAAAAAGTTCTTCCCAAAATTATTGGGAAAAAATTCACAAATACGGTTATGTTATGTTATTGGTTTGGTGGAGGGGGGTGGTGGGGGGAATCCTAAGTGGCGCTGATTCGGGTGTTCGCTTAACTCTGAAAAATTCCTAGAACCGGCCCTGGCCAGGATTTCAAAATAGGGGGAGGTCAACCAACCTTTTAAAAGGGGTGTCCGGGAAAAATTTAAAAAATATAGGCCCTAAAACGGTCTTTTTAT